ACCCTGAGCCGGTGAGATTTGAACAGCCGAACTGCAGAACTGCAGTCAGCTGAAGTAGCCTGCAGTGCTGCATTTAACCCCTGCGCCACCTTGGCAATAAAGGTTGTAACATCAGGCACAACTCACTCCTCACTTAGTCATGAACATTTTGGGCTGAATTGTGGTCGTAAGTCAAGGGCTGCCTATACCTAACCAGGCAGTCTGTAGAACCTCAAGGAAGCATAACAAGCTAACATGGGCAAGTGAGAAAGAGACCCTTTTGAATGGCTACTGAATACACTTTCAGAAATATGCAATTCAGCCTTCTTTCCCTTGAATAATTTATGGATTTAATTCCTCACAACTCTTGACGCTTTGTCGTTAAGAGCTGCCAAGTTTGTATCAGAAAACGCAGGGAAATGCTTCTTCTTGTTAAAAGCCAGTTTAGCCATGTTTTTTTTTTTATCTACTACCCTGAGAAATCTCTATAATCTCTGGATTTTTATCACTGCAAAAGGTTGAAGTGAAACCTCCAGATGGGGGTTTTAGGGGAAACAATAGAAAACAACTCATATGGGGGCTGTTTACTCACTGGTTATTTTTATAAACGTTCTTTCTGTCCAGTTTTACCATTTTGAATTATAGATTTAATTTCAGAGGAAATACAAAAGGGGCAGGCAATAGATATGGTTATGGATGTTACCCCGTGCCATAAAATTTCAGTGCATGTTACATACTAGAGTCCTCTTTAATGAGACGAACTGATTGGGATTAGAGGCAAGGACATAATTTATTCTCCTCTGTCTTCCTTCTTTGGTTCAGCCTGTTCCTAGTTTATGCCACCCTGCAGAGAAATAATTTCCAGAATCCAGATAAAAATGCTCAATACCTACAGGTGGCATACCGTGATATCACCCTAATAAAATGCTTAATGGGCAAAAGTCAACAAAACTCCTCATGCATTTTTTTGGTCTACTGCTGGTTTGCCTTGCCAGATATTAAGCCAAGTCACACATGTTTTGGCATTTCGCATACAGTTAGTCCTCAACTTATGACCACAATGGAGCCCAAAGTTTATGTTGGTAAGCAAGATAGTTATTAATTTTGTCCCATTTTATGACCTTTCTTGCCACGGTTGTTAAGTGCAGCTGTTAGTAACACAGTTAAGTGAATCTGCCTTTCCTGTTGACTTTGCGTGTAAGAAGGTCACAAAAGGGGATCATATGACCCAGGGACACCGCAGTCGTCATAAATAAGAGTCAATTGCCAAGNCACACACACTAAAAAAGAATGATAAGTATATTTTGTCCGCTTTCCCTTGCAGCCTAAAAAATGTAGCTTTAGACAAACTCGGGGATTCTGGAGTCCATGTGAAAATGGTTGCAGCTCCCATCAATCCAGCAGACATCAATATGATTCAAGGTAACCTTGGCATAACCCACATTGTTTAATTTTTGCCTCTCATATTCTTCCTTTATGTGGTGCTTTCAAGGGAAAATTAAGCCTTCTAGATTGTCCACATTTAATAGTATTCCCAGTGACATAGTGCACAGGATTGACAGAGTTAGCTTGCCTACAGCTGCTGCTATCTTCATCCATTCAACTTAGGCTATATTACTGTGCAATCTCTGGAAACATTCCCAAGAGCCATTAATAAAGTTTCTATATTTGGTAATTGCCACATGCAGAGGGTCTCTAAATGATGGCAACCTAAATAGCAAAGCTATATTATAATAATATACATGCCATCCATAATAAGCAGTATTATCTGCATAAGCTTGGAAATAGCTATTACACCAAAGATTAAAGAAGAAACAAGAGGATTATTTCTTGCTTGTGGGGATACAGCTGTCTCTCAATCCTACAGGATCTTTTCTAACCAATGACCAGACCTAATTGGCTAAGAAAATTAGTAACCCTAGGGAAAAATTTCAGCCACTCCATGCCCGGATTCACATATTATTACATTGAGCTATAATACGATTTGCTTGGTTTAGATTTTTCATCTGTAAGCCATTATATTTTTTTAAAACTATAGTTTATGGCTTAATGTTATGATATGCATCCATTTCAATTGTGTTTTAAGAAGCAAAATTACCTAAAGCTTAGCTTAATGGAATTAATTAACTAAGGTTTTATAGAACATTTGCTCCTTTAAGAATCCCCCAAATTCTCTTCCAAGATTGAAATCCTTCCCGTTTTAAGAACGCAGCTTCCGTGCGGCCAGTGCTCAGAGAAGTGGCAAACCCATGGCTTAAAGCGATAAGTGAAGAAATTCAATATTATTACATTATTGAAATCTACCTTGGAAATCTTTATGGCTGTATATGTTATATACCCATAATGGGTGGCATGCAGAGCCCTCTGGCATGCGCTCCATCACCAGTTGCTCTTCTGGTTTCCGGTGCATGCCTGCGTGCCGGCCAGCTGATCTTCGCGAATGCCAGAGCCTCGAAAACCCAAAGACCAGCTGCCCTGGTCTTTGGGTTTCCAGCATTCCAGCACGCAGGAAGACCAGCTGGCTGGTGCACATGTGCATGCTGGAAACCGGAAGACCGGGTGGCTGGTGCGCGCATGTACACGGGCCAGCTGGTCTTCGGGTTTCCAGGGCTCCAGCATGCACATACGTGCGTTCCCGTTTGGGCACTTGGTGCCGAAAAGGTTTGCCATCACTGTTCTATGCTATTTGGAATTTGCTACCGAATAAGAAAATAATGTACGTGCCAAATCAAGTTTTAATTCCTTTATATACCAAAATTTGTTTTTCCTGCAGGATCCTATGGCATCGTTGCTGACTTACCAGCAGTTGGAGGGAACGAAGGAGTTGGGCAAGTGATGGACACAGGAAATTCTGTGACGACTTTGAAACCCGGAGACTGGGTGATTCCAGCCGATGGAGGACTTGGTGAATTTGGGATGGGGGCGGCGGAGAGGAATTGAAGCTAAACTCTTGTTTCCCTTTTGTCCAGTCCCTCTGCTGAGCTTTAAATGTTTGACAACAAAGAGCGGTAGACAGATTGTCACAAAGAGGCCAAGTCAGAGCTGTGGAAACCACTTTGTAGCATAGCCCAATGTGTGAAACATGGTGGCTGTTTGGAAACCTCAGTTTATAACTTACGTACGTTGTGCAAACCCAATCTTTTCAACGATTTTATCTGTCAAGCGTTTCTTGACAACACTTTAGGCCTCTTCTGAGAGCTGAGAACTTCCAGATTGCGATTAGCTGTTCCATAGCTTGAATCATGTCATCTTTTTTTTTTTAATCCTTTAAAAAAGGAACTTGGCGAACAGAAGCAGTATTCGATGAGAAAACTCTGTTGAAAATCCCACCGGATATTCCGTTGACTTGTGCTGCCACATTGGGTGTTAACCCCTGCACAGCTTATCGGATGTTGTCTGATTTTGAGACTTTAGAACCAGGTATGCATAAATGTATGCATGTATCTATGTATGCATGAATAGGGATGTGGTGGCTCAGTGGCTAAGATGCTGAGCTTGTCGATCAGAAAGGTTGGTGGTTCGGATCCCTAACACCGCTTAACAGAGTGAGCTCCCATTACTTGTCCCCGCTTCTGCCAACCGAGTAGTTCAAAAGCATGTAAAAATGTAAGTAGAAAAATAGGAACCACCTTTAGTGGGCTGAGAACCAGTTGCTAACATTTCTCAATCCCACCCCTGGTTATGATTAGTTAGGCAAAGGGAAATTAAGGGCTGAGGTTTATACTTATTTATTTCCTTTTAAAAACTGAATTTCCTCGTCTTTTTCCAAGACCTATTTTTAAATTGGGAATAAAAGGTGTCAGGTGACCTGAGTTTCCAGTGGCTGTGCTATTTTCTCCAACACACAATAATGATGAGAGTGTCTTCCATTTGAAGGGAGCAGGAAAGAAATATTTTTTTGAAGCCCGGGATGACATGTCTGTTTGTCTGTAGGGAAATCTGTCATCCAAAATGCAGCCAATAGTGGAGTGGGACAGGCTGTAATCCAGATTGCAGCAGCCAAGGGCATCAAAACAATAAATGTAATAAGAGATAGGTGAGTGTGCCTTACAAAACTGTTTTTCCCTCTCTTTTTTTCCCCCCTATTGTCGTTTGCCCAGTCAGATCCTTTTGGTTTACGCTAAACCTGCACAAATAGAGCATTCTTTTAGACGCCTTTTATTCAGATGGAGATTATATGAATCCTAGATGGCATTATATGATGCTCATAGTTTTTTTTTTTTTTTTTTTTTTTTTTAAGATTGCCAGTTTGTAAACTAGGGTAAGACCATACTTGGAATACTGCATCCAGTTTTGGTCACCATGAAATAAAAAAAGATGTTGAGACTCTGGAAAGAGTGCAGAGAAGAGCAATTAATATGATTAAGGACTGGAGCAGTGGTGGGTTCCGGATTCCGCTCCAACCGGTAGGGTTGGAATGGCCCCGGTGTCACCCACATGCACGTGGCACGCGCACACGTCCTACTTGCCTGTGACGCTTTTGCAAGCCTCCACGATGCTCCAACTGCTTGGATGAGCATTACACAGGTGCCATAGGCACCATGCACGGAAGCGCCAAAGGCTTAAAGCACAGGTAAGGAACTCGGGCGGGCGGGCCCTCCGGAGCACTGTACCGGAACGGTACCCGGTACTCCAGGCAGGATCCGGTGCACCCGCACCGGGGCATACCGCCTTCAACCCACCACTGGACCAGAGGCTAAAACCTATAAAGAATGATTGCAGGAATTGGGTATATCCAGTCTAGTGAAAAAAAGGACTGGGGAGACACAAGCCGAGGTGGTGCAGTGGTTAGAGTGCAGTACTGCAGGCCACTTCAGATGACTGCTATCTGCAGTTCGGCGGTTCAAATCTCACTGGCTCAAGGTTGACTCAGCCTTCCATCCTTCCAAGGTGGGTTAAATGAGGACCCAGATTGTTGGGGCAATATGCCGACTCTGTAAACCACTTAGAGAGGGCTGGAAAGCACTATGAAGCAGTATATAAGTCTTAAGGGCTATTGCTATAGCAGACTTCCAATATTTGAGGGCTTGACACAAAGGAGAGAGGACCAACTTATTTTCCTTCCACCAGAAGGCAAGACAAGAAACAATGGAGGGAAAGCAATCAAGGAGACAAACTATCTAGAACTACAGATAAATTTTAGCATAAATTTTACAGCATAAAAGGAATTAACCAGTGGAACAACTTGCCTTCAAACGTTATGGATGCTCCATCACTAGAGGCTTTTAAGAAGACACTGGACAGTAATTTGTTTGGAATAGTATAGAATCTCCTGCTTTAACAGGGGGTTGGACTGGAGGACGTCCATGGTCCCTTCCAGCTTTGATGATGATGAGCATTGGGTTTCACTAGGCACATCATACAAAAGGTTTCCAATTTACAGCTCAGACAATATATTTTTAAAATTTGAATCCAGGACTTTAATATGAGAATATGCTTTGGATTTGATCTGAAAAAGATGCTTTGGAGTATATGAGGGCATAAATGTAGTGCCTCTCTGCAGTTCCTTAAGGCAACTGCGATTTCCTCCCCCCCTTCCTGGAATTGAACAGCAATTCTGGAGAGCTTTATCTAAAAGCTTCAGACTTTACTTGATGCTATTTTTTATTCATAGCAATTGATAGATTTGCTCTTAACGGCAAGTGTTCTTTGTTTCTGAATGGGGGCCCTGTCTTATCAGCAGTTGTCTTCACAGAAGAAGCCTCCTCTTGTAGAACATGCATAGAGAAGTGATCCGGCTGATACGTCGCTGAAGGATAAGTGGTCTCCTGAACCACTTCACCAGTTGGCAAATGTTGTTACTTGTACATCAGCAGCTTATTCTAAGCTAGCTTCTTTAGTATCTAAGTGCAAAAAGACAAAACAAAGGTATTTTTGGACTGCTGAAAATTGACTTGACTTATGCCAGAGTGAGAATATTGTTAATGTGCATTTTTATATCAACTTAATGTTTGGGTTCCACTTTATGGCCCATCAAATCATCAACTTCATCTGATTCTATTTTTTGTTGTTGTTGTTGTTGTTCCTCCACAGACCAAATCTCCAGGATCTTGTAGACAGGCTTAAGTCCCTTGGAGCAGACTTTGTGATCACAGAGGAGACGCTAAGAAAACCAGAAATGAAAGAGTTGTTTAAGGTATATATGACCCAGGGCTGCTGGGGGTTCACAGGGGTTTCTTGAGAACCTCTAGCTAAGATTCTGTGCAGCTCGAAGAACCCCTAAATCCCACTCCTGGCTGGCCTTGCCCACCCTTCCCCTCCTAGGAATCCCCACGCGGCCTGTTTTGGATGCAGCTAAGTGCAGGGCACATGCGGAGCAGTGGTGAAATTCAAAAATTTCCACTACCGCTTCTGTGGGCGTGGCAAGGGAAGGATACTGCAAAATCTCCATTCCCTCCTGATCAGCTGGGACTCAGGAGACAGAGAATAAATGGGGGCGGAGCCAGCCAGAGGTGGCATTTGCCGGTTCTCCGATCTGCTCAAAATTTCTGCTACTGGTTCGCCAGAACCTCTCAGAACCTGCTGAATTTCACCCCTGATGCAGAGGCTCGAGGAGGGTAGAAAATGGACCTGCCCGAGGGCCTCTGGAGCTTGGGGGGAGAGGTCATTTTTGCCCTCCTGGAGGCTTGAGAAAAACCTGAGCTTGAAACGTCTGCAAGAAAACGAACAAGCTCAGAGAGCACAAGAACCCCTCAAAGCCGTCTTAGTTTGGTTTGGTCCACTGTTTTGCATCTATCGGTAGTCCTCAACTTACAACAGTTCATTTAGTGACCATTCCAAGTTACAACGGCACTGAAAAAACCCGACGTATGCCCATTTTTCGTACTTACGACCATTGCAGCATCCCCATGGCCACGTAATCAAAATTCAGGCTATTTGGCAACTGGCGTGTATTTACGACATTTGCACTGTCCAGGGGTCATGTGATCTGTAACCTTCCCAGCTGGCTTCTGACAAGCAACCTGGAATTAAGGAGAAAACTTCCTAACAGTCAGGACAATTAACCAGTGGAACAGCTTTGCCTTCAGAAATTGTGGGTGTAACTCCATCACTGGATGTTTTTAAGAAGAGACTAGACAGTCACTTGTCTGAAATGGTATAAGTTCTCCTGCTTGAGTAGGGGGCTGGACTAGAAGACCTCCAAGGTCCCTTTGAGATTCTGTTTGATTCTATTCTACTCCACTCTACTCCACCCTACTCCTATTCCTATTTTGAAAACCAGACTTACTTAATGACCGCATGGCTCACTTAACTGCAGTGATTTTCTTAACAACTCTGGCAATAGCAATAGCAGTTAGACTTATATACTGCTTCATAGGGCTTTCAGCCCTCTCTAAGCGGTTTACAGAGTCAGCATATCGCCCCCAACAA